AAGTTCATACGTACCTACTTATTATTTTTTTTCCTGTCGTTCCTACGTTCCTGTACGTTGTACCTGTATAATTTTTTTCGTGTTGTTCGTCATCACTCGTATTTTCACTTTCTCGAACAACTTTTTCACAATCTGTTAATCATTTTCAATTAATATTTATTCTTATTTATTTCATCAACTTTATATTATAATTACTATAGGTACGTACTCATTTGATTATGTTTTCTAAATGCTCTTCGAAGAGAAGACGAAAACAGACCTCTTTTGGGTTTATTGCCCAAACGTAGCTTCATATGGACTTTGCTTTATACCCTACTACATTATTAAATTTATTATAAAATACTTCACGTATGTTTTCCATTAAAAAAAAATGTGTTGGTTATTGTGCAAATCAATCGTAAAATATACCTATAGCTACGTTGAATGACTATAATAAATCATACTAAATGTTAACGAGGCAGCATAGCATGACGGTTATCCAAATATAATAAGTAGCAGTGTAAGGTAATAAAAAATTTTATCGAAATTTTCAACTCGTACAATACGTTGTATATTAGCAATTAGTTAATAGGTAGGTAGGTACTAGAATATTAGATATTATGATTAGAGATCAGATTAAATAATATCGGCATTACCAACATTCACCAATACCTATCGTTATATATAAATGTCGACATTCACTAGTAAATATTTAAAAACAGTACATCTTTAATCAATATGCCAACATTCTCCAATGACTTGGTGTATGACGACATTAACCGGTGACTGTCAGGACTCACCAATTGTGGACATTCACAGTAACATAACATATATAAAAATTAATTATGAAATATTATAATTAATTTACCTGAGTATATGGTCGTATTCGTGGATACGGGTTGAGTTCGATGTTCAAATTCACTGCGGCGTATATATATATATTATATTATTATATTACGTGTCTTGATTTGTATATTTAATACTTAGTATATTAAGAGATGTTTTTTTGTTGAGTTCTACGCAGAGTTGAGATGTTTAAAACATGTTTTAAACAAGTGTTTAAAACAAAATGTTTTAAACATCTAAATTGATCAAACATGGTTTTGTTTAAAACGTTTAAAACAAATGATTTAAAAAACATAAAAAAAAAACAGTTTAAAACAGAAAATCATCATTTATGTGCATATAACTTATTATTTGTAAGTTCATACTGGCAACTCCTATTTATTATTATTTTTATTTCATAAACAAGTTTAAAATGTATAACATTTATAATGATAATTTTACTTATTTAAATTACTAACACTTCAATGGTTATATAATATATTACTTCTGTAGTTCTGTAGGTAATATATTTATTAATTATTTATTTATTTGTTCAAATTACATACCAATAAATAACATAACAATTACTAATTAGTAATTAGTAATTAGTTGTATTCCAACATAAAAAAAAAAAAAAAAATATATATAAATTAATATCAACTTGATAGGTAACATAATATTTAAATATCATAATTGTCTTAATAGTTAATTGCATATCTTAGTCCGTGGCGCAAACCCGCCAAAATTGAAAATAGTAAATACAGTAATCAGTATTCTTTATCACGATGTAGATAACAGATCAGTTCTTTATCATCAATCATTATCAAAATATTCAAAAACGATTTTTAAGCGTAAAACCGATAGCCGTGGTTAAATTACACGTCAAGTTATAAAAAAATTATGATATTAAATTATTAAATAAATGATTTTTTTTAAAAATAAAATACATATTTTGTTTTAAACACGATTAAATCATGTTTTAAACATGTTTTAAACGATTAAAACAATTTTTTTGATTTTTTTTAAAAAAATCATGTTTTTAATTAACTCTGGTTCTACGTATAATATTAATGTGTTTCGAACACTAATATTATATGAATTTTTAAATCATTGGTTTGGAACGTGACTATTATCGTATGGCGTATGCTTTCAAAATCCCTACATCCTTAGCAAGAATACATTACCTAATTAATTCACCAACCGAATGTAATTTAAGTTAATGGTAATTTATTATTATATTTATATTCTAAACACAGCTCTTAAAAAATCCCTACATTCGTAGTAAGAGAAAATTCGCCAACCGAATATAATTTATGTTAATGAGCACTTATTGTTATACTTATATTCTAAATAGATAATTGTGTAATAATACTATAACTGGCCTATGGTACGATTATATTCACAGAATCTTATATTATTCCAAAGAGTAAAGAGATAGGTGTTCAAATAATTAACAATTTGAATTTGTTAGATAATACAGAATAATTAATTTAGACAGTCATACCGAATGCTGGATAACTCAATATACATACCTACACATAATATAAACGCATTCGCTTTGAATGACAAAAACATTGTCGAAGTGCATACTGGCGTGGACGTTGTACATCGGATCCTCTTGTGTGAAAGGCCTGGAAGTCGATTCTGTGTGATCCTTATATAGAGTGATTTTTGTGTAATCCCTTCTTTTGATATGCATAGATTAATACATAGGTATTATGATGCATTGATGTGTTTATGATCTTATTTTATTTTGTGCTTTAGCTGGTAATTTATTGTTGTTTTTACCGAATGTTTTGACCGTAGAGATGTAGAATATTATATTTTATGTGTTGCATGTGTCACTGTGTGTGTTTAAGGAATGCGTATAGAAATATGCCTAAAGCGTATGTATATGTAGTATGTACACCGGGTCACTCCACACTTCATACAGACCGTTTATATTAGTTATTCTGTGTTATATTTTAATTCTAAATAGTACATATTACAGTTTTCCGGCTCATAGATTGGCGACCTATGCTCTAAACAGTCTAAACCAAGGCGTCAGAAACCATAATGTTACAAAATATTCTGTAAATGTAACATTTAAGGCACACATTTTCTGATAAATGGAGTTCATATTAATTCTGTATAGAATTTTGGCTTTAATTTATAATTCTTTATTATAGGTAATAAATAATTAAATTAACGATAAATAATAGAATAAAGTAGTATTTTGTATTCAATGATAAATAATACAATAAAACAATATTTTGTAGGCATTTTAAATTTTTAGAGAATTATTTTACTCAATTGGGAAAATATTCTGTCACATATAAGTTGTTTAAATTAAAAATGTCTAGTATGTATAGAATATTTCTTTTAAGGAGGCTGACCCCCATAATTTGTTTTCTTTAATAGTAAATTCAATCAAATTTCTGATATATTTTGAACTACTTAAGAAGTGTCCTGTGTCGTATACAAACTTATATTTTTCAAATGAAAACCCCCATATTGTTTTACTACAAATTATTTGGCGCAGGATTTTCTTTTAAATATTGATGTGTTTAAATCAAAATTCTAATGAGTTTGTTTCTAATGTTTATACTAAGATTAATTAAAAATAGTTTTATAAAAATAAAAACTATATGACGTAATATTAGATGTAATATTTATTATAGGTACTCGTTTCATTTTTACAAATTATTTATATTGATAAAATACAAACTTTTTCAAATCGTCTAAGCCTCCATATCTACTTAACCCATTACTACAGCTATACTAGTTGAGTCCGAGATTATTTAAGGTATTACACTAGTTGGATATCGGTTTTCTTTTAAAGTACCAACTACACTAGTAGGGTCCCAGTTTTTTATAGGTACTACACCAGTGAGCCAAAAACTATTCCCTCAAATTTTGATTTAGATGAATCAAAATTCTAAAAAAAAAAATATCTGCTTTATAATTTAAAATTAAAAAGTGGTTCCTATTTGAAAAAGGGAAGTTTGAATTGTCACATGATCAACCTTAAGTGGTACATAAAATCTCAAGGATTCGAAAATATGGTCTTCAAGTGCGTATTTAAAAATTCCAAAAATTAGAATTTTGATATGCTTGATTTAAGTATAAAAATAAGGATAGCATGCTTAAAATAACCCTGTAAAGTAGATTGATTTATGTATGTATACCAATAAAACTATTTACATTTTACATTATATTATAAACATGCCTATGGCCTAGTATAACCAAAATATGTTCATCGATTTTTAAAAAATTATGGGATTAAAGATTTTTTAAAATCTAAAATGAGCCATTTTAGTAAAAAAATGGTTGGAAAATATTGCAATAAAGTATCAAAAATATTGTAAATAAAAAATTTTGGTTGAATTCCATCACGTGTCTGAACATGAATGTAACTCAATTCTCAATAGTCCTACTCCTAAATAATTTTATAAGTAGAGTACCATACAAAAGTAAATACAACTACTGTATAAAAATAAAATAAGTCACAACTTTTAGATATATGACATATCTTGGTGGATATGCGTAACCTATTTCTCTACATTTTATTTTATTTTTGTGTCCACGTTTTCATTAACGGTGTGGTGTACTCAAAACCTATAAATTCCACCGACTTGACCTTAGTGCCAACGTGCGGCTTATACGTCACGAGGCCAGTGTTCTCCTGGACTAGTGAGTGGTTTTTAGGTCATAAAAAAACCTAGAATCTCACAAAATGTAAAAATGTGTAAAAATATGTTAAACGGTCCACTGTCGCCTATCAAGTGCCTATATATTCACCTCAAAAATACTAATAACCTATGAATAATCAGTATTTTATTTTACTTGGAATACCAAATAATATATGTTGAAATACATTATGATTTATAGCAATAACATGATATACATAACATTATAATACCTACCTATATAATAAATATATGTTAAAGTACGATTTTAAATACATTTCAATGTACATTATAATGAAAATGGCATTTGCAATATGTCCTTACTTAAAAAATATTTTTAATTTATTTCTATTTCTATATTCTTAAACCATGAATATTTATTTATTTTTATATTTATAATATATTTATGTAAGTAGGTACATTCACATTTTTATTCATACATTTACAATTTTTATATTTATATATTTTGTATACCTACTGCACCGATAATTTCCATACTATAATAAAGAAATTGTAAGAATGTAATTTTCAATGCTTCGTCGTACACTCTTGAAATTGGCCTATAGCTGCGCTTGCTTTCCTTACGTTGCTCAAACAGTTAACAGCAGCCATGGCCGTATCAGGATTATCCGAATGTATACATTTTTTTAAAAACTAAATGATTTCAAGAACATTTTTAAATATGTAAGTACCCACATTATTTCTTAAAAAAAATATTAACATACCGGAAGGAATCCTAACGCCTCAATCATTACACAATTTAAGGGGTCTTCGGATAATCCGCTGAGCGCAAGAGGAACGTTGTCTCTGACGACTTTGTGCTCAGATTGCGTGTACTTAATTAATTTATCCATAACGTGCTTGCAGCTGAATCTACGTGCAGTCACACCATCATTGCAGCATTTACCCAAAGCTTTGCAGAGATTGGCTCTCAAGTTCGTGTGCTCCTGTAACAGATAATAATACAAATGGGTAGGCACCTATAGATTTGTCTGTAAGTACACATATGGTTATTTATTACTTACCTACTTATTTTATGTATTTTCTTATTATGTGTAGGTAGGTATAATATGATTATAAGTATAATGTCATACTGCATCTATATTAAAATTCAAACTTACAGTAGATACGAGTTTTGACAAATTTTCGACAATTCCTGCGTCGACCATTATTTTTGAATTCTCATCGAACGAAGCAATAACGACGATCAGATGACAAACTGCCGCTAAAAAATCCAAATTCTTGTGCGTCAATAAATCTACCAGGTCCCAGATCGCCTCGTACATTCCTTTCAGAGGGTTCAAGCTGAACTAAAAAACGCACAAGATGAAAATTTTTTTTAAAAAACGAATAAGAAACCACTATGAACTAACACGTTTAAGGCGGGTTTCCACTATATGTATACACGTTTGCCGTGTACACGAAAAATGTTAAACTATGTCCAACAACACGGTATCGAGGTTAATCGTGTGGTAACTTAACCTAACCAACCAATCACAGCAAAGGATTTGTATTCAAGTACACTCGTACGTGTATATCGGAAACCTGCCTTTATAATATAATATTGGTATAATAGGTATATTTTACTTGTGTGTTTTCGACTATCATGGCCAGGCATTCGGCAGCGGCTATGATCGTTTGCGGTTCGTAGAAATCTTCGTACTTGTCGAATTCATCCACGTCAAGGGACGGCAACAGTACGAAAATCAACCGAAACCCCTTGGCCTCGTCGATCATGTCCATGCACTGCGGGTCGCTAGACGCTCGACCTAAAGCGGTGCACACGTGTTCCAACACAAGGCTGTGCAGGCTAGTGTTGAGCAGTTCCAGATACTTTGGCACGGCAAATTGCCTGAGCTTGCCACGCAACGATTCAGATTTCCACAATTCAGACAGCGTGGCGACTGCGTAGCCGATTACCCGGTCGTCGAGTTGGTATTCCAACAGTTCTAGAAGGAAATCTACTATGCGGTCTTTCTCGATCACTTGTCTGCATTTCGTGTGCAATGAGCTCTTCCACAGCACGGTGATGATCAACACCATAACGTGTTCTTCGTCCGGCTCGTCCCTGCAGGACGCAACGGTATAATTAATTAATGTAGTTGTTATATTAAGATTGTTGAATTTCAAGCATGTACCAGGTCCAGGTTCTTGTAACGGTATATGTTATATAAAGTAGGTAATAAGAGTTTAAGGTTAGTATTGAGTCGTAATATTAATATGAAACAGACAAATCGCGTATGGTAGACGGTAGGATGACCCCCCCCCCCCCCCCCATATATTATATTATCTGTATATATAAAAACTAAAAAGACTTGTCCTGGGTGATTCAGCCAGCCGGAACTGCTGAAGCTATGGATATGAAATTTTCAGTAAATGTACTTATTACTATGTATAGGCGCACTAAGAAAGGATTTTTCGAAATTCGCATTTTAAAGGGTAAAAAGAGCATAAAATAGTTAATTTTTAACGGTGGGTAAGGGGTTCGCGGTACGGCAGCCGTTGACGCGCGGTGGCTAGACGTGGCCGTCCAAATTTCCCCTTCCGTGTCACCGCCACCGACACCGCTCACCGCCGCGCCGCCGACCAGCCCGAAAATAAACCGAACGACGAGCAGATATATAGATATGTCTCAGATACTCAAAACCTTATCGGTAACACATTATATTATTAATTTCGATTTTAAAATAACCCGCAATAATCGACGACGCATACAGGCTTTCCCAACAGGAGTAGTAGTGGGGGTAGTAAATAAACACGTAAACTTATTAGTCAAGTGTTTTACTTATTATTGTAGTATTCGGCACATGCTGTGAAGTTGTGATGATATGTCTTTAGAGTTTCCCTCAAATTTGTGTACAGTTGTTAGCTCTTTATCAGAACTAACTTCCAGAATTTACCCAGATATAATAAATATCAAGATGAAACCCATCGAATGGTTGTGCGAGCGAGCCATCTTAACTCCAAAGAACGACAAGGCAGCCGAAATCATTGAAATTCTACTAAAGGCATTTAATTAAAAAGCTTTTGAATATAAATCTTTTGATTCTGTGATCCAATCAGATGATGCTGTCCATTACCCCTTAGAATTTCTTAATACTCTGAATCCTTCTAGTCTTCCATCACATAAACTTATCCTTAAAATTGGAGCACCTATATGGCCAGATTTATAGATGATACTTAGAAAAATCTTAGTATTATCTCAACTAAAACTAGAAATTGGTATTTATAAATCAGACTTATGATATTTACTAAGAATTATCTTAGTTATATTTTAACTTAAATAAATCCTAAGTTTTGGTATTTATAAATGGTACTTTGAAAAATTTTAAGAAAAATTTGAGTAAAAATTAAGAAATATCTAAGGTACCTACTAACCATGCTTAACAGTCACTCAACAGACACAAAATTAATAACTTGGTATAAAATAGTTACTTTTATACTATTAAATTGTTGTTCGATCTTTTATAAAAAGTTGATAATTTTATTTAATTTATTTTTTACTATTTTAAAATGGATATTAATTATCTTGATGATGACTTAAACTATGATTGGCTAGAACAAACTATTCGTGTTCCTAAACGATATTTACGTGATATGCAAAACTCCATGTGAAGGGTAAGTAATTTTGAAATATTTTTTAATAATTCCCCTTTACAAATATTAATTAGTAAACATTACTAGATTTTCAGATTTGCAATTTTTCCAACGGTTTAGGTTTCCAAAATATATTGTGTTAGAAATAATTTTACCTATGATATAGGTACTTGGATAATATGGATTGCAATTTTGATAGACGTGGGTTAAAAATCGATAATATTACAAAAGTGTTAATTGCCCTACGTTTCTATGCAAGTGGAAATGACCAAGTATTTGAATGCAATTTAAATGAGTAATTATGGTAAGATTATTGTTAATTTTATTTTATTGTTTTATAGAGAGTCAATGGAGATACATTAGGATATTCACAAGCTTCGGTTTCTATTGTAGTTAAAGAAGTATCGGGATTACAAGCTAAATGTGGAAAAAAATGGATTCGATTTCCATCAAATTTACAAGACACTAAGGAACAATTTTATTTAATTGGTGAATTTCCTGGTGTAATTGGAGCTATAGATTGTACACATGTCCCTATTAAAAGTCCCGGAGGCAACAACGCAGAAATGTATAGAAATCGAAAAGGATGGATGCCATTAAATGTTCAAATTGTTTGTGGTCCTAAAATGCAAATTTTTGACATAGTCTGCAGATGGCCCGGTTCAAACTAATGTAATTAATAAGAAATCGTATTAGCAATATTTGATATTATTATCACAGATAAGTCAGCTAATCTGTGGCAATAAAATATTAATTATGCTGATAACAATAAAATTATATATAATCTCCTGAACATTTTGCTTTTAAGAAATATTTTTACTTGAAATACCTATTCTTAGAAAAATCTTAGCTAAGAAATAACTTAGTACCCTTTATAAATACCACTTGTGAGTTAGTGAAAAATATTTACTTAGCAAAGTTGAATATAAGTAAAATCTTAGTATCGTCTATAAATTTGGCCAATAATGTTACTAAGAAAACTTAACCCACCTAAATTGTGTAATGGAACTAGATTGCAAGTTAAAGCTCTGCACATAAATGTAATAGAAGCTATAGTTATCACTGGGTGTGCTAGAGGAGATATAGTTTTAATTACGAGAATAACGTTAATTCCAACTGATTATCCCTTTGAGTTTAAAAGAATACAATTCCCACTCAAAGTTTGCTTTGCTATGACCGTTAATAAGTCTCAGGACAATTATTGAGCATGGCAGGGATTGACTTAAGAGAAGAATGTTTTTCACATGGACAGTTCTATGTCGCATGTTCTAGAGTTAGCTCTGCCAGTAGTTTGGTTATTTTATGCTAGGTTTACAAGTGCATGTTTACCCGCATGCAAGTTGAGGCGCCAGTGAGGTGTAAACATGTTCTGGCGCGCAAGTAAAAATAAAAGTTGGAATATTCCAACATAACAGGCGAGCTGGTGGGTAGATGATGGCGCCACAACAAACATGCACGTGTAAACCCATCTTTAGCCCCAAAAGTCAGTACCAAAAATACTGTTTGTAAAGAGGGATTGAGATGAACAAAATATGTCAATATAAATATTGGTGGGTTTTTATAACACCATAATGAATATAATAATGTTACAATAATAATGATAAGTAAAAATAGTAATAATAGGAATAATACTAATAATAGTAATAATAATTATAATAATACGTAAAACATTTTTTTCAATTACAGAAAGTTATAATTTTTTGGGTATATTTTATTTCAACATTTCGTCTATTAGAATTGTATATTACAATTTGTCTTCAAAATATTAAAATAAAGTAATTTTTGCTGACTTCTGATTGTTATAATACATGGGCAACCTAGGATAAACTTATCTAAAAGCAGCCTGTAATAAATATAAAAACTGATAAAATAAAAGTTATAGTAAGTTACACAAAGATACTGTACACGGGCGAAGCCGGGTTATTCAGCTAGTTATGTATAAACAGGGCCGTCTTAAGGTTTTACGGGGCCCCGGGCCCAACATATTTCGGGGGCCTTACAATACCTACTAAATTATGGTATATAAATTTTTTAACACATAATGCATATTATTTATTAAAATATATTACACTTAAAAAAAGTAAAAAGTGAATTTTTGTTTAAATCTCTGTTACTTTATTCTTTATTTTACTTTCAAAATAAACGGTCAAAAAATACTTTCCTATTAATTATAACGTCAAGATATTAATTATTCATACATCAATATGTTTTATAGTTAAAAAATAAATGTAATTCATTAAACAAAAACTAATATAATTTTAAAAAAAACATGATATAAATTTGTCAATTATTAAATACTCTTTAATGGTTTCTTCCTAGCTTTTTCATTCGCAAAGTCTTCAATAACATTTTCATAATCTAAACTTGATAGTAGTTCATGTTCAATACTCATTAAAGATAGGGAGTTTAACCGTTTCTGGCTCATTGTACTTCTAAGCTCTTCTTTAATTAAATTTAACTTAGAAAATGAACGTTCCCCACTGCAGTTGGTAATCATCATTGATAAAAAAATTCGGAAAGATATTATTATGTTTGGAAATGTTTCTTCTAGTCTATTTGATTTTAAACATTTGTATGTACTAGAAATACTGAATTCAGAAATATCAAGTTCCGATAGATACGCTTTTAAGTGTATACATTCTAAAATTAATTCATTTTCATTAATATCTACGTGATAAAATTCCGCAAATGTTTTGCAATGGACTTGTACTTCTTCTTTTGTCTCTAAATTTTTTAAATTAGAGAAAAATCCAAACAGTTTATTTATTGTATTGTATGATTTAGCACGAATTTTTAACTGAGTTATTAATGTATCTATTATTGGGAAGTAAGTTTCTATTTTGAATTTTTCACTACCTGAAAACGATGTACTTTTGTTTGTCAGTTCACCGGGTAATGTTAAATGAATACTCCTCTTCTTAGTTCGTTGGTGTAAATCTTTATAGTCAGAATCTGGAAATTTTTCTCTAGCGGAACTTTCATAACTATAAAAGTTATCTCTAATCTCACTTAGAAAACCAGCAAGAGAATCAAATAATTTTGAACCGACGTCAATAGTAAGGTTTTCTTTTTGTAAATTTTTGTTTGTTTCATTTATTCTTGATAAGATTTTACTCCAAATTTCAGTAAGAACAATATTTTCCAACTTTTTCATTTTCTTAATTAAGCCATGGGTTTCGTTTTTAACATTTGGTGAAGTCTTATCATCTATTTCAATTGTTTTTAGAGCATCTAAAATTTCCTTGTAACCATTACACAAAGCAGTAACAGCATCAGCTCGAGCAGACCATCTAGTTTCTGATAGTGACTTTAAAACATGATGTGAGCCTAGGCACTTTTTCATGATACTCCAACGATAGGTAGAACTCGAAAAAAAATTATACAATTTTTGTACAAATTGAAAATAACTTACTGCTTCCATAACACATTCTGCTGCACGAACCCCTACCAAGTTCAATATAAGATAAGATATTTCATATTATTTTATAAATAGCACTCGCAATACTTCTATGTGCTTCTACGTAAAACAAATCGAAATAACCGATAACGGCGATAACATAGCGCACGTAAAAATAATGTACGTGTAATGTGGACCAGAAATAACAATAAAATTTAGAAATTAATCAAATTGTATTATTTTGATACAAAGCTAATTTAAATATTTTTTCGTTCGAGATTTATATTAAAAACATTCAAAAAAATGTAAAATTATGATATTCGGTAAATAATGTAATCTATGTGAATTTGGGGCCCTTAAAATTTCGGGGCCCCATGCCTTAAGACGGCACTGTGTATAAACGTTAATTGATACTTAACACTTCTTTTCTTATAATAACATTTTAGTTCTATAATAATTATGATTTAATATAATAAAATTGTGAACATTTTAATTTATTATCCGTTTATGATTACAATATTAAAACGCAACTTAATAAAAATATAATATGAATATATAAATACAATATTATGTGTGATGTATAATATGTTATGGACGATAGATAGGTAGATAATTTAGATTGTTAGTTTTATGAAAACCACATTTATATTTTAGGAAAATCCGAAAATGTGCTGGTGTTGAGAAGGCTTAGTAGTTCCTGAGGATCTAGGAATTGATTATGTATCGGTTGATGCTCATAAGTGTCCGAACAGGGTATGCCAGGTGTCCGTGGCAAGGGTTAGGTAGTAAAGTAACGCGTTACGTAATTTCATTAGAATTATTTTCAAGTAACGAAAATGTAATGGAAATTACTTTTGAAAAGTAATTTCTATAGAGTAGTGCGTTACAGTTTCGAGCTTCCTACCTATTGCGAATTTAAAAAAATATATATAATATACCTAATGCTGGTATTATTATGTTTACCAATCTAATATGTATATAATTAAATATATATATATTTAATTTTAACTCGCCACAAGTCAGTTTTCAATGGTTTTGACATTTGAAATGTCTAATCGCATTTAAATCACGAGAACAGTTAATTAAATGTATTATTTAATTTGATTCCTTTAAATAGGTTTCCTATGAATAGCTTGTATAGAAGACTAAGTTTTTTGTAACGAGAAAGTAATGAGTTACTTTTCTATTTGAAAAGTAAAATAATCTCATTACAATTTTATTTGAGTAACGAGTAAAGTAACTTAATCACATTTATCTCTTAGTAACGAGTAAAGTAACTTACCCAACCCTGGCCGTGGCCTGAGGCTATTGCCTACTTGTACGACTTTTATTCATTTTGGGCTTTGTTTATTATTCAAGTTACAAAATAAATAGTACGAATGATAACCAAGAAGTATGATGTATGAACAAATTTAGATATATACAGGGGCCCCACACATAGACGTTATTGACTTATTGTATTTGTACTCGTTACGATTTTCCCGACAATTTTGTTGTACCTGTGGGCTGTGGGCTATAGCAAACCCTGTTGTACAAAAAATCTTATGTGCGTTCAAATCATCTCGTTTATCATTACATTTGTACTACACCTTATACGAGTAAACAGCACACCATACTCGTATACACCATGACAAAATATAGATTCTATTATATCGTACTAGATAGTAGATACGTGTTTGAAGTGATTGTACACTACACTCAAATTCTATAACTTATACACAGGGCCGGATTTAGGATGGTGGGGGCCCTAGGGCCCATCATATGGCCATATAAGGTTGACATATAACTTACTGCATAAGCTGAAAGGTAATTATCTCGTGGGGGTCTCTTATTAATTGAATCTTGTGGGGCCCCGGGCCCCGTGGGCTCTCTCTAAACAGTAAACCGGCCCCGTTTATACACTTCGTCAGTAGCGCAACTAGGCCAATTGTCACTTTCAATGAAGGGCTTCTATTAAAATTTTTTACGATTATTTTTGTGAATAAAAATTGGGGTGGTCATATTGATTGTAAAAATTGTTATACAAATCTAATATGGAAAAACAATATTTTTAGTTAAGACTTCGGCTGGGGCCACTGCAGCCTGTGAGCCCCAGTGATCGACACTCCCTCGTTCATTGTCGTACATTTAATTGTACCGTATATTTGACGGCTTGACGCTTTGTTGACTACTCTACGTTGGGGTGGTGGTCCTGGCCACTAATTATAAACTAAAAAAAAAAAGCTCAGGGCCTCGGCAGCGTTCGCAGCGCGGCCCCGCGGCCCTGGCCAGGCCGACACTGCGTAGTTGTATTCACAAATATTATTATATTAGAGCCCCTAATATCTCGGTGGGGGCTTGTATAAATATACAATATAGGTACAAGGTACATACTAATATATTATCATTTATCATTGAAATTATTATGTAATTATGAAATAAAAAATGAATAAATATTATTTATAGTCTTTAAACAATAATTATTGTTATTATATTATAGTTGTACTTTATAAAAGTTATAATATTTTTAAAATTTTTTTTTATGCAGCTATATGAATATAATATATTTTTAGAAACTAAATTATAGCAAAAATTAATAATTACAAAATCGGGCTCATCTGTTTTGTTTCGTTTTAACAAGGAATAGATTGCTAAAACCGAAAGTGGTTAGGTATATACCACATAGGTAAAAAACCACATCTGGTAAATATTTTGAAATAACTGAAACCAAGTTACGTAACAAAATACCATCCTCTATAGTAAACTTACCAATTAATTTATTAAAAAAAAAACATTTTGCAAATGGTTAATGGAATCTTCTGATAACTAATAGTATTATGGAAATAATATAGTATTCAATTACTCTAATCAATGTACAATAATTTAATTTTAATCATTATTATTTCTGCAGACACAGATTGCAACTAAGTATTACTATCATAGAATAATTTATTCGGTGTTAGTAGGGGAGAGGTGGCCACAGTGAGATACGGGGCACAGTGATCCATTAAATATAAGTCGAGTAGTTTAATATTTAACCACCAGCTGGAGAATCCAGAAGACTCACATAAACATAATATTAAATATAATTGTTAACCATTAGGTAACGTCAAAAGTGATACTATCATCTTATCATAATATTGTTCTTTTTTGTTATCAAAACGTGAAAAATGTGAGCTTCGTTTTTTTCAATTTTGTTTTTGAATTTTGTTCAAAGTTACGTATTTTAACGTATGTATAAATTATATTTTTCTAGTGCATGATTTAGTTGTATACACCAGGGGCGTAGCACTGCTTACACTTTAAATGAAAGAAAAAATAAATTTGATCAATCACGACTAATAGGTACATAATAAATGATTTTTAAAATTTTAATTTTATTTATAAAATATTTAAGTTATAGCTGGTAGTGGTTTTTGTTATTGTTTATTTGTGTCTTACGCTGTCTACTGATTACCAACCATTTTAAGAAAATCATCGATTGTAGGTCTATTTTTAATCCATTCTGTATTATGTTAACTGCATAATCATAATACAATATACAGTGTAACACATTTTGAAATTGCTTACTCGCAACTGTTGTTTTCGAATAGTCTATAATGCCATATTGGGGGTCACGTATTTAACTAGCGTTTGTAAGCACATTTGATTTTGCTTAGGTACGCGAGAAACAAGGAGCGACCAGTACGTAGCCACTAGCCCGACGCGGCGACGCGTTGTAGACTGAAGTCATTTTAGGTACACTGTCACTGTCATTCGCCTAATAGACTTTTGAAGTATTTATACTTCAATTTCTTTATTTTCTCGAATTTGATTTGTACAACTAGTATATTTTTAAAAATATTAAAAATTTTAAAAGGATAACATTTTTTATACATAATTTATAATTAGGTATTTAGGTATAGTACCTATATTCTAATCACTTTTGAAAAAAAATTTCACTGCTTACATCTTTTTAATACCCACGCCACGCCACTGGTATACACAATTGTTTATCATAAATATTCATTCGAGAATGATAAAAAATCTGTAAGATAATAGATCGGTGAGACAGTACAGAGTGAGACACACACTTTTCTATTTTTCATTTAACTATTTACCTATAAGTCAACCTTAACTCAAAAATAAGACTGTTGAAGTAAATTGTGATCATAATAAAGTGATAAAGCTTATTATTTTTTATTTTTAAATTTTAACATAAGACTGTTGAAATAAAATAAGTGAATATACTTACATTTTTTAACTGTACAAAAATAAAATATATTATTTTAAAATTTATTATAAAAATATCTTTAAATGTGTGATCATACTATATGGGTGTTGTGAAATTAATAGTTTAAATATTAAAGATAAACTACAAATTTAAAATGTTTTATAATAGTATGTACCACAGTGTCCCGTGATGTGTCTCATTGTGTAGAAGGCTGGGTCACAGTGATATACACTTTGGCTTTTTTTAAAAAAGGTTCTCTGAGTTGAAATGTCGTTACATTTTAGAATGTATTAATATGTTTTCAATTGCTTACTAATATTTAGAATAAAACCATAACCCTGTTAAATCATTATCACTTAAAACAAAAGAAAATATTTAAAAAATAATTTTTAGTGTCTGACTGTGGCCACCTCTCCCCTGCCTATACTGTCTAATAGCTTATACATATTATTTTTAATTTCATAATTAATGAAATCAGTGAAATACCTTATTAATTATTTTGAAATTATATTTAAAAAAAATTGTAATAATGAAAATATTAATTAAGCACTATATCATTTATATAACATCAAAATATCAACGGTATCTGGTTTATTGAAATCTTAATTTCTACACGGGAAAACTATTTTGATCATTTGTCATTTTCAATGATGGACTAAAGTTTGATCGGCCAAAGATTTCATTCTGATTTCATTAATTATGTGCAATGTGCATATACTTAAACAATTATACCTATTAATGGGGGTGCGACTCGTTTGCGCACATTTACCTTTTTTACGGCACGTTTGCGCACACATATTTTGGGTTTAAATTATAAAGGTACAACTCATTTGCGCACATTTAACTTTGAGCAGAACAGCACATTTCCCTTCTTACTTTAATATAGGCTTAGGACCATCTGTTTTGTACAGGCGTGATTAAAAAAGTGCATGTCGTGTGTGTCTGTTCTGAATAAATATATAATTGTACAATTAATAAGAAGTAATAGAAGTTCTATGCGTGTTTGTCATTTTTAAAATTTTTTATTTTTTTATTATTAACTAACCTTACTACATCACTCAAGGAACATTTTTTATTTGCACACCTAAAATGTGTAACACTAGATTTAAAAGTTCGAAATTCTCTAAATTTATAACTATCTATATTTATACACTTTTTACCTCGACGCGTTTCAAAAATATCACAAATGTCGATATCCATAGTCACTAGTCAGTATAGGTAGTACCGCTTTCTGGCAAACGACTGCTTAAAAATATTATGTTTAATACACGTCGATTATTTTCAATGATGATAATGACTAATGATATATTTAATATTGATATGCCGGTCATTTGTACTGATAATTTGTACCGATAATCAATTACTTTAGGTAAGTCCAAATTTAAAAAATAAAATTTATGTTATGCAGTGTTTATATTGTGGGCAAACGAGTCGTCCGTGCTTAGGTTAACGACGGTATTAGTTGTGCGCAAACGAGTCATCGATATCTAGGTAAACAATTTGGATTGTGCGCAAACGAGTTGCACCGATTAATGGAACAGGCGTGGATTCAAGGGTATACCCTGCTGGGTGCTCGGACATTGTCCCACTGTTATCTAAGCCACCAGTAAAATACATTTGTATCATAAATTATGTAGTTTAAAATAGAAAGGTATAAACAATTTTTTTTTGAGCACCCTCTGTTAAATTTTTCCGGACCCTCGCTTGTACTATTATATTATTATATATGTTTAATGTATAGGTTTATTTTTACTTGAATTTTGTAACAGCTTTGAATAGGGTTGCCATACCCTTGTGTTTCAGCAGAACGTTGTATATAGCAGGACTACCGTCAAACATGCACAGTATCGTTTCGGCCGCTCTTTGTGCGAGCTGGGTAGAATCATTGACCAAAAACCGTATAACCTGCTGCAAAATGTTCCGCTCCATAAGTCCTTCTCTAAAGTATATGTCTATTTTTTGTCCAACAACTTCTGGCCGTGAACGGCAACATTCCGCCACTAAACTCATTATAGAAACTTGGGTTTCGCCATGTTTCGAGTTCAACAATTGCGATAACAGCTCCACGAACCCGGCTTCCCTATAATAACGTATATTTTGTTTATGAATGACGTGCCATGGAAATAAATGTACATTAACTTCACCACAACTGTTCTTGGCATTTTAAAGACCGGCATAACTGGCTTAGAGTGCCGGAACAGCAGTTCATCAAACACACTGCGTCCCAATTTGACTCGTCCATACTATTCACTTGCATGGATAATACGTGTTTCGATAAGTTCATCATTTGCACCTTAAACATCGACAGTCGTTTTTATTATAATATGAGACCGGCCATAGGCAGTTGTGTGGGTAGGTATAATGTGTAATCGACAGGGGTCGAAAGTACCATGGTCTCAATTCCACCACTCAAGCGTATAAGCTTCCTGCCTCTCCTTAGTTTCGCGATGTTTTGTAACGTTTCCGAAGCCAAGTATTTGACTTTGTAGTTGTTTTTTAACAATAAAATGGAAATCAAAGGTTTCACAGCGTCCAATGTACACAACGAGCATTGGATTCCGTAATATTGGGACATTTCATGTACAATGATCAAAGCATTTTCCTAAAATATCGTTGTTGCATTGTGATAAAAATAATAGATAGTGAAACGTATACCTAAGTATACTGTAGCTATAATAATATAATGGTTTTCTGTATACCTTACATTCTTCGTTGTTACATTCGAGTATGTTAATCAACACTTTGAAACCATTTAAAGCAATAAACATGTTTTGATAAGGTCCCTCTAATATTTTTTCAGCTTTAAGTTTGGTCAACGCGGCCAAGGTTTTTGTCGGGTCAGAATTCTAAAGTTTCAAAGAATTTCAATAATATAAGTAAATAAAAATAAACAAATATTTTGATGTTACCAGTTAAAAATTAAAACCAGTTTTAACTAGACAAAACTAGTTACCTATCACAAACCTATTTCGTCAAACCTGATTAATTACTACCTACTAGTCCCGTAACCAGACCAAATCTTCAAGTTATCAAATTTTAGGGGGGGAGCAATGATTAGGTCCAGGGGTGCAATGCCCCCCCTTGTTTCCCCATGGTTACAAGTCTACTAGCTAGTTAACTTCAATTTTAAATGTGGGTAACGCTGATCATGTTGTCAGTGGCGAAAATAGGGGGCCTTAGCCCCCCTCAAATCACTCAAAGCCCCCTCAAAAAATAATAGAATACCATTCTTAAAAGTATGTACCTATAAATTATAATTTAAAAAAAAATGTGTTGGTGATTGAGCCCCCCCTAAAATGTTTTCCTATTTTCGCCACTGCGTGTTGTTTAACCCTTTTGAGCATTTGCGTAGACAACAAAAGATAATGTATAGTTAAGAGCTTAAATAATTAATTCTCGTATTATTTCACGATTCATGAATATTTCTTAGATACAAATTTCAATCGAATTTAACGAATTATGTATAAACTTGTCCTACTTCTTACCAGGCACGGCGCCAAGGGGGGGGAAAGGTGGGGCTCTAGCCCCCCCACTGAAAAATATGTACGATATAATTAATGTTTGTTGTATACAGTTAAAAATATTTTTAGTTGACTTATTATTTTAAATATGTTTATGTTTGATTAACACAATACTATTGTGTAAGGAGTTGGTATTCGTACCTACCTACTTATATTAGTTTGGTAATTAGCATGACAAATTTCTTATTTAAAATAATTAAATAATTTATTCAATTTTCTTATTTTGTTATTTTTATAATCTTATTTGTCATTGTAATTAGTTCACATATTACTTGATAATTAATAAAAAAGGATTTCTTAAAGTATCTATGTTTTAATGTATATATATGAACTATTTAAACCTCCAAAATTTAATAAAAAATATAAAGTAGGTACTTCAATAGTCAATACATACACTACTATGCAAATACCAATTTAAAAATGTATTGAATTAAAAATTTAAAATGTACTAGTTAAATATAAGGTATAGGTAATCAAAAGTTTTTATTTAAAACAAATTGTATTCCTACTGATATCAGTGCAATTGTATACATTTTTGTTAACTTTTTCAATATTATAAGATTTTCAATCATTTACTGTATGGTGCATAAACAGATATTGTATAAAAAATCAATATTTAGCTCATAAAGAAATTATTATTTTTGTATATCATGTTATCATTATGAATATAGTTGTTGAAGGTCTTAGGTCTGTGATTAAACATTTTCTTACATATTACATAAGGTACAAAAAAAATATTTGATATTATTCTTAAAACATTTTTAACTATTCAAAAGTTTGTAAATATTATATGTTTAGACGTTTAAAGCATACAATATAAAAGTATGTACTATATAGCTAATAGCTATATTATGTTATATCGTATATGATACGAAAATATTTATATTTCATTTAAATAACCTCAGCATTTGTTGAAACAATTTTAGCCCATGTAAAAAAAATATTTGCCCCACTCTGCCCCCCCTGGAAAAAAATTCTAGTGCCGTGCCTGCTTCTTACTAGTTATTTGTCTGGTTTTTTGATTTCATCGTTCTCGTTATATTGACTTAAACTATAATAATATATCACTGTAACGCAATTTTCCGTCAACACACCAAGACTAAAAATAGTATATGAATTTATAAAAGTTCATCACTACTTGTGCATCTTAATATAATATACCTACTGGCTACTTATATAGTTATGTCCAGTTCAACAATATAAAAATCAATTCTGAAACCCAATTTTCTCTACTCTCTGGAGAGTTCTTGTTTTCACTTTTCACCAATATATTTTAGACACAAGTAGTTCTAACTAAAAAAGTTGAAACTAGTTCTATAGTGAAGGGTTCTGTTTAATTCTATAGTTTTAACTAGGTACCTAGTAATAATCGGCTTTGACGAAAGAAGTTTGTGAGTGCTAAAACTAGTATTGATAGATTTCTGTGTTTATTAATATCGCATTGTACAGCATGGATTATTGGATTACACTAAACACTACCAACTATCAATTACCTATAAAATATAATTTAATATAATCTACGTTATATAATTAATAAAAAGATATGTACGTGTGAAATCAGAAATTGTTTCACCTATAGTAAGTTGCAGCCTGTAGGTACATTGCAAAGCACTCTCCGAATCTTAGAACTTAAAAGAAATATGTTTATTTCGGTAAAATACGATCGAGAACGGCATTTTTGGTAACACTATTGAGAATGCTCGAAATTTTTTAAGTTGTTAGAGAGTCACCCGCAAAATAATTTACAGTAAAAAAGGGAGATTTTCATTCGAAAAATTGAAGTTTGTATCGCCAAAGGACATTCCTTGAGTAGTACAAAATGATCAGGAATTTGAAAATATGGTCTTCAGGTACTTATAAAATCAGAATTTGAATAAAAGTATTATTAAAGGGATAAATGGAGGTGAGCATGTTTAAAAAATCGTTCTGTGCATTACATATTTTTATAAGTTATACATATTATCATTGATTATACATAGTATAGATTGCTCACTGGTCGTGATTTTGCGTTGCGCTAAATTTTAGTTCCTTTATTGACAATAGATAGCGTTAATAGTCGTAATTAAAATAATAATTCGACCGGCGGTAGCTGCTGCGTTATTGCAGCCTGCAGGTCAATACAAATATTGGTAATTGGTATTTGGTATTGGTAGCGGTAAAATACTAAAATGTAGCGGAATACAAATTACCAATGCCGCGGCGGCACCATCATGATAATATAATTTATCCGTATAATAAGATGAACTATAATAAAGTATGAGAGGGGGTAATTTAAACATTTATTATTATATTATTTGCATTCACGTTTGTCTATTAAACGTCTTCGGAGTTCGGGTTGTTAACGCCGATAAGGGATTCTAATTCAACGTTGCCAAATTTAACCATACACATGTTGTCATTTAATAGTAATAATAATATTTATTTTATATTTTTCATGACGTATGAATAATTATCATTGAGTAATAATTGTACCCACTTAGCCACCTACATACCTACCTACATTTTTTTGTATGTATTTTAAAAAGTACTCAACCGATTTTAGTCTAGTTTTCAGTTTTCACTCATGGGTTGGCCTAGGTCTTGGGGAAGATTCGAATGTGTAATATGCCCACAGATATAAAATACAGATATTTTATATCTGTGAATATGCCTTAAAAAAATATTTGAATGCCGAAAATAATAAAAATATAAATAATGAAATGCTGTTTGTTGTTAATATAGCATCACTTGAGAACGGCGGGATCGATCGGGCTCATTTTTTTTAAACCTTCGGAATAGTTTGAATAAGGTTTTAAAGAAAGACAAATTGGAATAGTTTCCCTGAAAATTAAAAAAATCTGGGAAAACTGAAAGTGCTTTATTGACTGTCTAGTTGACCAACGTAGAGCTTCTTAAACTATGATATTATAACTTTCGCTATTTTTAGCCATGAGATATTTTCGATTTTTATTAATTTTTTTTTAAAGTGAGTCATGAGTACCTTTTAAAATATGTACAAAGCTGTATAAAAAAAAGCCTGTTCTTTTATATATCTATATAAGGATAATTATAAGAAATAAAAGTGGTGAATTATGTAATTATATATTGCGTGCCAAGTGCAAACACATTCCCATTGACTATTTGGCCCTTGCGACTTGTCTCACGTGGATGACTGGATAGGTATAAATGTATAATTGCCATCGAGACTGCCTTAGTGCCATATTTAAGAAACATAAAGTCTTAATAAATACACACGTGTCTTTTATACAGTGTACAATACTACAAAGTAGGAACTCAGGAAGTACAATGCGAGTATGCGACTCGTACATTTTTTTTGAAATATAAATACCTACGTATATTATGTTACTATATATATAACCTAATCCTAAATTCAATTTAGACATTACAACTTTGTAATAAGTTTATTTATAAATAAATATAATATTTATTTTATAAGTATGTGAGTATATTAGATCATTGATTATAAAATTATAGTATTATAGTATATTTTACTATTTATAATCAATGGTAAGACGTGTGTGTTATCGTATTCGTCCGACTGGTGTGTTGGAAATACCCAAAATAAATAACATTCATTGTCATATTAATCAAATTGCAATGGTGAATAGGGTCTACTGAGTAGATATTGTCAGTACTATCGCATTGTCGCTGCACGTCACTGTACATTTACACACTGCACACTAGCAAATCGCTCGTCAGTCGTCAGTGGTCAGGTACATTCTATATTCAAATCTCCAATTCTCAATTATACCTCTGCATAACGTTCTTCGATACAATTAATAATTCTGTACTATTGCTCTAGAAAAATGATTTAACCATTTTTTATTCAACGTAGTTTTTTTATTGATTATTTAGTCATAATGACATTATTGCAGTAGGTACTGCATTAGCTAAGTGGAAATCGTAATCCAAGGTTATGACTTATGTTATTATTTAATTCGCTTCACTATAAAAATTTTATATTTCAAGTTAATATTTTAAGTGTTTACGTAAAAAAACAAAGTTGCAATCATAATCAATTTTATCAAATAGGTAAGTTTAAAGTTTAAATTATATTTAAGACGAATTTGACCATATTCAGGAGGTTTAATTAATAATCTTCGAATTTTTACTTGCTAATAGATGATTTAGAGACCTGTCACACACAAAAAAAAAACAGCAGCCTGTTCCAACTGGTTGTGTTAATTAATCTGTTGTAAGTACCTACTCATCATAATAATTAACTATTAAATTGTAATGCATTCATGCAAAATAATTATGACATTTATATTTTAAAATTTAATTTATTACAGTGAATAAAAATATATACAAACTTGGATTGATACTCAGTAATTTAAATTGTTTTGATTCTTAAGTAGATAAATTAAAAAATCTATTTTTACAGACTAATGATTATTATAATTAGGTAATTCTGCATTCAGCTTAAATTACAATAATTTTTAAAAAATAATTCCTGTTTTTTAGAAGAGTGTTTAACACTATAATATATTACTATGGCTGTCCATCGAGCGGGGACGAAAGGAAGATAGCACATGAGCTTTTTTCAATATTTCTAATAACTGAATTTGGGATACTTTTGGTTTTTAAAGTAAGTTTCTAATTATTGTAATATAGACACATCGTAGGTTTACAATCATTTTTATTTTATTTATTATTTATTCATTACATTACATTATTATTTATTACAAACCTTCGGGCTTTGGCTAACACGGAAATACAAAATATTAAATAAAACTATTATTCTGTTATTGTAGTTGACAATAATATTTTTCCAACCAAATATTTTCAATAAAAATAAAATATTTGAAATTAAAAACAAAAGT